CCCCTCCGGAGGCTTATAGTTTTTAAGCAATTCGTTGTTAAAGTTGCGAAGAAGTTGCAATTTCAATTAATTTTAAAGATAACTAAAATGAAGTAACAAAAAAATTAATTGTTAAAACTTGCCAATATTTTTGCCCCAGGGTGTAGTAATATATTAAAATTTTTGTTTGTATTTTATGACTGAATGTTTTCCTTATTTTTCTTTTTAAATACTATTTAAGTATTTATGTATATTTAAAATACCTTGAAAAAAATCAACTGAATTAATTTGAACTATTTTAAACTAAAAAAATTATTTTTAATTTTCTAGCAATTTTGAGCATCGTTGGTATATCGTTATTGCGGGCTGCAGGGGAGTCGTTTTTGCAACCTGCCGGCGAGTCGTTTTTGCGACCCGCCGGCGAGTCGTTTTTGCGGCCCCCCGGCGAACAAATTGCAAATATGTATGCAAATATGTATGTATTTTTTATGCTAAATATATGCAAATAAAAGAAGAAAGTAAACACAAAAGCCATCGAGTAAATTTTCATTTGTGTCAAACTGAAACTTTTTTCCAATAATAAACGGTTAGCTGATTCAAGTCTACAGCAAGTTCACAAAATTAATGGAAAACTAGTATCAACCAAAGCATTGTTTATATTTGCTCAACAATGATTCTGATAATACCCCAGAAGAAAAAAATTCCTCGAACACGTGTTAAAATATAAACAGAACCAAATCGCTGTGCGAATTTCGTCGGTCGGAGCGATGCCGCCGCGAGATATTCGCTGCAACATTTCTTCCAGTAAAACAGAACAAAAAGGAAATACACACCAATTGAATGACAAACAAAAAATATAAAAATACAAAAGCGAAATTTTGCCATTCTGATTCTTGCTGATAATTATCTGCTAGAAAAATATTTCCTCTTAAAATACTAATAAGCAATTTGGTATAAGATATTATGCTTCGCAAAAAATTCCATCATTTAAATTTTCCGACAAAATTACTTTTTCAATCTTAGTTTTACCCATGATGGAACCATACCGAGCGAGACAAAAGATTTAGATTGTTTTTTATTGAAAATTTACCTTTAAAGTTTTGTATAAGATAGCCGAATGACAACATAAAACGGGAAAACTGTTTTATCACTTCACTTGTTTATAGCCCCATGGTTTTTACCATGTACTACTACTTACCTTTTCAGGGATATTTTTTACTTAATACTTTGTTTTCTGAGTAAAAATGAAATTTTAAATTCATGTGTTTTTTAAACGAAGAGCATTGAAAATTTCTTTTTAATTTTTCTTAGTGTTACCGCGTATCACTAGCGTTTACTTCGAATATCCATGAGCAGTAAGTCATCTGTCGCACAGAGACAGCCAAAGAGCAGAAGCCTAGGCATCTCGCAAGACCCATTGCCAGAGAGTCCATGGTGCATCGTTCGGCAGTACAGAACGGTAAACGAACTGCGAGAGGGTTGGATCAGGCTGGTGCGGAACATACCGTAAAATCCTCCATTCTGGATGTGACACGAGCACCTAAGGCAAGCAAAGGCAACCACACTCGACCAGACGCTTACTTGAAATTAAGCTCCCCAAGTGGACGGGGAAAAGTAACCAGACGGACGACTCAAAGATATATATTTGGTAGCATCTAAGGTGCATCCAAAGAAAACCTACATTATGTCCAGGTGGCTTCAGTTGTCTTGACACGCACGTTTTATGAGCATCACCTTGACATCGATTTTTCTATGACCAAAAGTTACAAAGTTTCAACATACTTACATTTCTCCAATTACACTGTAGGGACGCTAAAACGCCGAGACATGTCGACTTAATTTTGGGTCGTAGATTACGGATGTGTATATCGTTTTTCTAGATCAGGTAATTTTCCAAAGAAATTTTAATTTCAAGTTTGCATTGCTTAAGCTGTAACATGGAAAATGTTACTCATACGCCATGTACGAGTACAGCCAGGTACGATGTGGCGTATGAGTAACATTATTTCCCGGGCCTATCATACACACAATTATTGCACATTTTCATTTAACCATTCAAAACTGGTGTATTTATCCATTAATTTTCATCGCAAGTAGCTTGATTTTTTTTCCTTATGAGTTTGAATTTTTTTTCATAAAAATGAAAATATCATTGAGAAAATTTCCTGATCCTAAAAAAACGGTATACAGATCTGTAATCTACGACCCAAAGTTAAGTTCGTATTTCAGCAGACTTAGCATGGTATGGTTTGGAGTAGAGATGGGCACGGGTCTAAATTTTCAGGCCCGGCCCGGCACGAGTGCAAAATCAACTTTCAAGAACACGCACTAGCCCGCACGGTAAGAATTTTAGTGGGCCCGGCCCGGCCCGGCCCGGTACGACGGGACACGTCCAAGCCCGGAAATAAAGAACCAACTTTTTTTGTATGTATACATATATGCATATTTTTAGTTTTGTGTTTATGTACATATGTATATTTACTTAAGCGAATCAAGTTTTTACATCAAAGATTTTTATAATATATTTTCTGGGAAGTAGAAAAAGTGGAAGGTATTTTATTACAGATATGTAAACAAAACTACTAAGTATCTTATTCTTTCTATCGGTTTCCGAATATTTCTTATTTTGCTTTCCTCTTATCAAAAGAGTTTTAATATGTACTATTTTTTTTTTTGTATAAAAACAAAAGCTTATCTAAATTTGTAGTATTAGCAACGGGCTTTTTCGTGCTTTTATGAAATTTTACTGAACGCCCATGCACGCACGAGTTCGTGCTGAGAGCAAATCCGGCCCGTACCCGCCCATCGTGCCCATCTCTAGTTTGGAGGCGTTGAATTGAGATCCTAATCTATATATTAATACGCTAACATAAATTTGGTCCGCTTTCGTTTGGCGATTCTACCGAACCGATTTCAAAACCAAGAACACCATTGGAAAGGTATTTTTCTGTAGATGAGGAGAATTCTTACGGTTTTATATTTCCGTATTTGTGCATAGATGTTGCTGCAACATGTTCAATTTGACATGTTTTCGCATGTTGTTGCACTTCGTATTTGAAATAAAACTTTGAAATAAAGATGAAAATGAAGAAATAAATGGTAACGATGAAGACAAAAAAGAGAAGGCGACAGTGAAGACACCGACGAAAACGGAGACAATGAGAAATACATAAAAATGAGGGTAAGTAACTGAAAGGGCAAGCAAATGTATGATGGAAATGATACACGTGGCAATGATGCACACGGAAATAGTTGCAACGGAAACAAGTGCTTCTTATGTACGTGGTATTAAGTTAACAAAAACGTGCTAATAAGGTTTAAGAATAAGCCTGAGATTAAGCCCAAATGTCGTTGAGCGTACTTTACATGGGCAAATAATTTCGTATGTGCAAGATAACAAACTTCTGACAGACAATCACTCTGGTTTCAGGCCGAAGAGAAGTTGCACAACGGCACTTTTAGATGTGATAGAAGGCATTAGAGCACGAATTGATGAAAAATAAACTGCTTTCCTAGCGCTTCTTGACCATTCAAAAGCCTTTGATTCTGTTGACCGTGTCTTGTTATGTAAGAAGCTGGAGAACTTATTTTGCTTCTCTGGTCATGCAACCGCTCTCATTAGATCTTACCTTGGCGAAAGAACTCAGGCAGTAAGCATTGGGAGCAAAATTTCTGACTTCCTACCTGTAGTAAGTGGCGTCCCACAAGGCTCAATCCTGGGTCCTCTGTTATTTGTTTTGTATATAAATGACTTACCTAATGTTTTAAAATATTGTAATATATACATCTATGCGGATGATGTTTAATTGTATGTATGCTGTCCTTCTGATCGTACTGGTGTTTGTATTAGAAACCTGAATAATGACTAGGCTCATGTAGG